GAATTATTAGACATTTCATTTTATTTAAAAAAATTTATTTTGATTGGCCAAGAATATTATGTATAATGTGGCTTAGAAAAATAATCAGAATTGAAAGGCAGAAAGGTTAAATGGCGCCTGGGGTTTTTTCTTTAGGTTTTGTTAGATGGAGGATAAAAAATATGATTAAATGATTAAATGTTTGATTTTAATTATTAAGTAATAATATTATATTAAATATTTAAATAATGATAATTCTATATGTAAAAGAATAATATTTTTTATCTATTTTAATTAAATTAAATTAAATAATATAAGTTAAAAAGAATATAATTATTTTTAAAAAAATATACAGTATTACAAATCTTTTATATGATATTTCCCCTTGAAAAAAGGGAAAAGGAATGGAGTGTATGTATGCATGTGTTTGTGCCAAAAAATCTTATCATTATATTGGTGCAAAGATGGTAGCATTTTCAGGGTATTTGTAGTATTTGTGCCCTTAATGAATCCGTATATCTTGTTCTTGTTCCTGACGTAGTTGATCTTGATGTATTTGTAGATCTTGTTCTTGGTCCTGATGTATTAATTGGTCTTGGTTTGGATCTTGGTGCATCGGTTGGTCTTGATCTTGTTCTTGATGCAATGGTAGTTGTAGTTGTTTTTGTAATTGATCTCTAGCCTCTCTAGTGCTATTCATTATATTCATAAATATATCTATGTATTTTCTAGGTCCCATTTTAATTTCTACAGCATTGGTCATATTTCTATCCTCTGCGAACATCTTCATCATTGCTTTGATATCCCTTTGAAACTTCTTAGATTTTGATCCAGCTATATCTTTCTCGCTTGGATCAACACAAAGTAAATCATATGGATCATAGGCAGGATCTGGAGTATCAATTGGTGGGCAATCAGAAATTTTACTTTGAAATTCATGACCACGCAATATTATTCTATGAAATGTTGTCAAATTTCCCCATAAATCCAATACAGGCAGATCGTTATAATTCGCTAAAGCCTCACCAGGAAGTTCTTTGAATATGACATTTTCAGTCATCAGTGGTACACCAAATATTGATAGTGGGTCATGTTTACCTTCTCTAAAACGAATGTGAGTATCATCATATTCAGCAAGATTTGTTGAAAAACTGGTGAAATTACTAAAATTTGGATATAACATTGCATAACCTCGGAGATATACAAGTTCAATAAAAAACTGTTTCCATGAATTTTTCCAATTATTGGAACGACTATGAGGAATACTAATGGGTTGAACTTTAAAATTATTATTATCATCCTCCAAGCGATCAATAAGATAATGGTGAAATTCATACCAAATCTCTGGAAAGTAAACACCGCCCCAATCACTAGGTGCCTGACAAAGATAAGGTGACTGAACATCATATTTTGTGTTGTTGAATACTTGTTCAGGATAAAATTTTTTACGACCAGGGAGTGTAAGTTCCATGTGTTTTGGACTGTATAAACTGATACCATACATCCTTTTACTGTGTATCTTATCAGGACCATACTTGTACTTTAAAACAATATATTTTGACCAGATATAATAAAAAGGTGATAATTCAGTATCATCCTCTAGCAAAACTGCATAATCATGATCATTGTATGGGTAATATGCTTCGACTACAGCAGGTAACAAACCACCTTGACCTACTCTACGTCTGATGTTTTTTGAACCATGGTCCCAATTAAATTTATCAGCTAGTTTAACAATATGTGGACTTGCACCTTTATCCATATTAATTGTCAAAGGAATTTCATCACCAAAGTATATAGATGAATTCAATGATTCTAAAAGTCTATTAAAAGAATTAGGTCGATTCTGAGTAAGTATTTGTAATTGAAACTTTGGTAAATTCCAACCTT